ACTGCTTTGGGCAATATAGGTATATACTAAATTTCAGTCTTTCTAGTGTTAATAAATGTCTCCTTGCTACATATCAAGTGTCCCAACAAAACAGTGTATTTCAAATGAAACTTGATTACTCATTGGTACTTTTACTTTAATCGACGATGAATCAAAACCAGGGTCTAAAAATTCCCCGCTTTCTGGTTGTTCCGGTGCCTCGTCACCAAAATTTCAGTGAAACTGTGTTACACAATCTCGTCACCTGTAAACATCTTCTTTTATTTGCCCACAGTGAAGGAGGTGTGAAAACGTGAATTGGCTGTTCAATAGAAGTGAGGCAACGGGTCTCACATATTCAGGACAGTTTAGTTTCACACGCAAAATAACTGTGTTACGTAAAAAGAATAAAAGAAGATGCTGATTCTTATCGGGTTAATGGACTCGTAACATTGCACAGATTTTTTTTTTCCCTATCCCTGTAGCCATGATGACTGAATGAATTTTCTCATCCGTTCATTCTTACAGTTTTCTGCTATTCTGTTATTGCCATAAATACTAGCTTTTTTTTTATGAATCAAGGATTATCCTCGATCTTAATGAAATCATGGTTTCGATTCTTAAACTAGAAGTTCTAAAATTAGGCCAGTCGTTTGCTATAATCGATTGATTTTTTATTACATCATAAATTTATTTATTAACATTATATATTGTTGTATATTTCGTCATGTATTCATGGTTACATTCACTATGTACAGTCTGCGTTTTTTTTTTATATAATATAATAAATAAATTTGTCAAACGAAAATCCAGTGGATTATTAAAATGCAATTGCAGCTTTCAGCGGATAATTTATTGTCGATCGAATTCCGAGAGACTGGCGATTGGTTATTTATCTCGCGGTCTCGGCTCGTTCGGTCCATTTCTAAGCACCTGAGATAAAAAATGATCGGTCGGTAGATCTTGGGGCTGGTAACGAGCAGTAAAATCCCCGAGCTGTAATTTAGTTTCAGTCTGAGAGAATGTTAATAATAATGCATAGAAAAGTTCATGCTGTACGCACTGTACGGTACTAGACATTATTATATTTAACGATGCCTTTCAACGGTTGCAACAGTGTTCGTTGTTTCTGCAAGAAAATGAAAAATGAAGACACAGTTCCTGTGGAATTGAGTGATTCAGGGAATAGCCTAATCTTCACTATTTATTAAGATCCTAATCTTCATTGACTATCAAGGAGTCAACTGAGACCATGAAAAATTATTAAGATCCTAATCTTCATTGACTATGAAGATCTTCATTGACTATCGTGAAGTCAACTGAGACCATGAAAAATTATTAAGATCCTAATCTTCATTGACTATGAAGATCTTCATTGACTATCGTGAAGTCAACTGAGACCATGAAAAATTGTTAGGATCCTAATCTTCATTGACTATGAAGATAAGAGGTCAACTGAGACCATGAAGAATTTCATTAATCATGGCATAAAAAATGCTATCAATGGTGATATAAAAAATGGCAGCAATCCTTCGATTATAACCCTAACAACAATTATGATATAATACGCCATATTAATTTTTATCATGTCCTGCCCATCACTGACCGAAATTCCTTGCGTACTTGAGGAGCTATTCATTTTTTTTATATTAGCTGTTAAACAGCGCTTTCTTTTTCGATGGTGCATCGAGGACAGTGGTCTCTGCGGTTCACCCCTTTCCCTCAGTGTATTTTCCAGGAAACACCTTTCACCGAAAGATAGCCACGCTCTCGCGGTGCCCGATTGCAAGATCTGCAAGCTTTCTTAATTGAACCCGCGAACAACAAACAAGCCTGCGAAACAAGCCGACGAAAAAAAAAGAAAAAAAAACTGCGCACCCGTTATCTCTTACCTCATCTGAGACATATTCTTCCGCGTGCAGACACAGAGCACGGGTAAGAAACGTTTATTGTCAGTCTTAATTACCGGAGAAACGTTCGCGATAGAAAAATGATTAACGGCCCTGTATACAGTAGACAGTTCGATTCCGCGAATCTTAATAGCCGAGGTTTACGATTTAGGATAACTCGAGAAACAGTTTCGTTAATGGCGTATAAAAATTCTTACACATCCGCGTTGTTACGAAATCGACTTACATTAATTCCGAGACACACTTCACTGCAGATCTAATTATAATATAATAAAAAATTACATCGTATCGATCGTAGGAATAAATCCTCAGAATTAAATAAAATGTCCAAAATCCTCAGAATTAAATAAAACGTCCAAAATCCTCAGAATTAA